AGAGAAACTCTGGGGCCATTTCCCAGAAAGAATCACACAGAATTAGAAAGGTTTGGTAATTGATTGAATAAGGAAGGGAAAATGGAATTTACGGCCAGGAGTTTCACGCTTGATAACGTGAATGGCTATGTTGTTCACAGAGATGGAAGGCATGTGATGCTTTTTAGCAATAAAGAGAACAAGTCCAACATCAGAGTGCCAGATTCCAGGTACCCCTGGTATATTCAGGGAGATATTTTCTTTATTCTGAGATATTTTCATTAAGCTATTGGAATTACTGTCAGGTTGTGATAAAATTGCTCAGGAACTCTACCAAACCGAACCAATGGTAAAGGAAGTGTAAAATGAAACTTTGTAATAGGCTGTTTTTGTAAAAACACATGAATTTTGATAACAACCTTACAGTGGCATTATTTCCCAGGTAATAAAACTCTAAATGTGAGAGCTGCAAAAACAAAAAAAAGAAAAGCAGCTAATTCCAGAAATGCTAGGAAATCATAGAAAGTGCTGTCAGGGTAAATGTGACATACAGAAGCAATAAAATTTAGAGTAATCAAGATTCTCTGAAATATATACACCTAAGTGAATAATAATGTAACATTTCTAAAGATAGGATTTATTGTACTAAAAACCATGATAAAAAATGCTAAACACCTGCCAGGGGAGAAGAAGGGAGAAGCAAGAATGTTGGTGCCTACTCTTCCTTCTGAGGGATGGACAGGTGTGGGCTGAAGTGGTCACTACACAGATCATATAGTGATTCTGTCTAAGGCCCGGACAATCAGACATCACGGCAAGAGAGTAATCGCAAGTGTTCTTGATGCTTTTATACTGCTGCAAAGACTGAACCATTAATCCCATTGCCTTTTCCATTCCTAGCATAATAAATCCTCTTCTCAGAAGTAAACATTGGCAAAACTATGATTTTTTTTTTGTAGTAACAATGATGTTCAGGTGAAAAAAAGAAAGATCCTTTAGGAAGAAGACTGGCATATTTGAAATCTTTCTTTTTCCTTGGGCAATCCATGACCAGATCAAATACAAGATCTCCAGAACAAGAAAAAAGGTGTCTTTTTCCATTTTTAGCAAGACTTAATAGACTAATATGGGTTTCTCAAATGTGTTTGTTAATGTATCAATATTTTAGATTTGTAGTTGTCTTAATATGCCCTAAAATTTGCTTTAGTGCTCAGCAGTATATAGATGTATATATATAAACAATCAAATGAATGAAATGTTTTCAACCTATGTGAAGAACATCAGAAAAATAAGTCAGACACAATTATTTACCAAGTTAACTTTGTGCTAAGCACAGATATGTAACATAAAAGTTGTAAAGCTTATGAATATTAATGGTCTCATTCAGAGATTTGATGTTTACTGTGTGGTGTTGCATATAAATAAATTTGTGTAAGAAAAATAAGGAACCCTGGGTAAAATTTCTATCAAAATTTAAGACTTTGGTTCTTTGGGAGACATTGTTCGAGAACAAAACAAAATAGGTCAAAGACTTAAAAAATATTTGTAAATTATGTACCAAATATAAAACATGTATCTAAAACATTAAAAAAAAAACCCAAACCTACAGCCACTGAGTCAATTCTGGCTAATGAAGACCCTATGGGGCAGGGCAGAATCTGCCCCTGTGAGTTCTGAGATTGCTACTCTTTATGGGATAGAAAGCCTCATCTACACCCCACAGAGAGGTTAGTGGTTTCGAACCACTAACCTTGAGGTTAGTAGCCCAATGTTTAAGCACGATATCAAGAACTCTCGGAACTTAGGAAAAACAAAAAAGCTCACAAGATGTCAAACTTTTATTAGATTCTCAAAGGAATCCAGGCCTTCCCAAAATATTAATATAAATAAAACCAACCTCACTGCTATAGTTGATTCTGACTCAGTGAGCCTATAGAATATAGAAAGCCTCTTCTTTCCCCAGCACTGACTGGCAGACTTAACTGTAGCTCTAACAGTTAGTGTCCCACACAACCCACTGTGCCACCAGTGCTCCTTGGACTTGTGCTAAGCTTGAAGAATTCAGATGAACCAAATGTTCACACAATAGCCAAACTCTGTACTGGAGCCTGTCTTGCAACACATCTCCAAAGTGGCCCTGGAAAGAGCCTCATCCTAGAATACCCTACAAAAATGGCAACGGTTCAGCATTAAGTCCATGAGCAGCCAGGGATAGGTGTGTATTTATCTCAGCTTTACCTGGAAGTTACCTGAGATGTGTCAGATAGCCATCTGGAAGCTTTCTTCCTCATGTATTTGCCCCAGTCTGGTGTGCTGAGAGAATCCTTAAGAGTTCTATCATGAGACTTATGATAATGATGAATCAGAAATACAATCATCAACGCTACTGAAACCGAAGGGAATGAAGCTCATTGAGATCTTCCTCTCGCTTATTCAAGAAATACTTATTGCCTGCCTATTTTAGAGAGCCCTGTTAGCATACTGTGTTAAGTATTGGGCTGCTAACCATTAAGACCCATGGTTCAAACTCACCAGCTGCTCCACAGAAGAAAAGTAAGGCTGTCTGCTCCCATAGTCTTAGAAACACCAAGTAGTAGTTTTACTCTGTCCTATAGGGTCGCTATGGATTGGAATCAGCTTGATGGTAGTGGGTAAAACATCTACTAAGGGTTGAAGATAAAAATGCTGAGCAAGACACAGTGACTTCTTCAAGTGTGGTAAAGTCTAGTGGAGGAGACTGAAAAAAATAGACACAAAAGCAAAGCAGACAAATAAGACCAAGGTAAATGCTCTGGAGACTGGGAAACAGAAAACGAACAGGTGATCCAGTCTTGTGGAGTCAAGTTTCATAAAGAGTTATGTTTGAGACCTGAAAGATGAGTAGGTTTTGGTCAGAAAACATATGGGGGGAAAATAGTGCAGGTAGAGGAAAGAAAGCAGAAGAAAAAGTGTGAACCCAGAGAGATGAAGAAATGGCAAGAGATGATGCACCACGGAGAGAGCTGCCCAGGGCAGGGTGAGTGGGGAGAAAAGGAGCTGGGGAGAGCAGAGGGCAGCTTATGGATGACCTCTTGCCTAGTCCACTGGTTCCTCAGCCCACTGTCGGCAGTGAGACGCACGAGATGAGATGGATTTACACAGAAGAGTGGCAGGAGGGATCTGCCCTTCAGAAAGGTCGGTCTAGCTGCAGTGAGGACGATCAATGGAGAGTCCTGACAAGGTTGTCTCAAGAAGCCAGATGTGGTCTGAATCACCTAATATTTTGATCCCCGTTGTTTATCTTTGCAATTATGTAAGATTGATACGATTACTCACATTTGAGGTGAGGCATGCATGAAAGAGAAAAGCCAAGTAACCTCCTAGTCTTGCAGAAAGTGGCAGTAGAAAAAGAGGTAAGCATATTTGAGAAATATTTTGGAGGTGTGGAAATCAGTGGATGATTATTCAATTAATATCTGCTACTGATTTGGGGGCAGTGGCTGAAAGAAAAGATTTCTCTAGCTTAGATAACCGAGCAATGACTAACCTGGGAAACACAGAAGGGGCAGTGGTAGAATAAAGTAGCCAATTCAGATTGGGGTTTGAATTACTTGGGTAATTTCCAAGTTGGGCTATCCAGGCAGGATCTGTTCTCAAAATCAAAGTGAGATTTTTTTGTTTCATCAGCCCAATCTCTCCCAGAAGGAAAAGGGAAAACAAAAACAAAGCTTTTGGGAAGCCAAAAATAATACAAACATTGAAAATTAAATGAAAGCAGAATACAACAGCCGTTACAACCATTTCAGGTCATTCATTTTCCTACATTAATTTTTCTCAATTGTTTTCCCCTGGTACCTTAAACTATTGTTGACCTCTTTGAGGTCTTCTGTGGAAAAATGCAGGACCCAAGTCAGCCACTTCACTGAAATGGAAGGCATCTACTGTATGCTACCCACGGAGGCAATGCAGTCCATTTCTCCAAGACCATAGGAATTTCTTTGCCAGTAGCCTTGCTTTTAGAACACTGGGGAGTCATTTGGCAAATTAGCATTTCAGTGGTGCCCTAATGGTCTGGGAGCAGAGCTCTAACCTTCCTCTCTAAGCTCCCAGAAAAGTTTACACAGGAAGAAATTTGCTTCAACAGTGAAGTGGAAACATTAACATATCAAACACCCTTTGATGGGAGGCTATAGACCAGTGGTTGGTTCTCAACCTGTGGGTCATGACCCCTTTGGGTCGAAGGACCCTTTCATAGGAGTCACCTGATTCATAACAGTAGCCGCCTGATTCATAACAATAGCAAGATTACAGTTATGAAGTAGCAACGAAAATAATTTTATGGCTGGGGGGGATCACCACAACATGAATTGTATTAGAGAGTTGCGGCATTAGAAGGTTAAGAACCACTGCGATACATAGTTCTCCAGATAAACTGGCATTTTCTTGAACATTATCCAGAAATCAAATAAATGTATTTCTTCTTTAAATAGAATTTATCTTTCATACTTGCATCTTTCTCCAAATCTATCTATTCTTTTTCTCTGCTTAGGCTGACCACCCCATTAAAAAAAAGTTTTGAAAGAAAATTAACCTGTAATTTGAAAAGTGTGGCCATACCTGTTAAAACATAGTCACTGCCCAAGACAGTTCTGTCGAGTGGGAAAAAAATTTTTTTGAGTGGAAAATTTTTGATGAAGTATCTTGGTTCTAGGGAATCCCAATTCAAGTTCAGTAGGAATTGTTTTAATATTCTTAGCAACAAGGCCTCCTCTCCCCTTTCCATCTATCTGGTGTTTTCCTGTCCAAAGTTAATGAGTCCTCAATACCAAGTATCTTCATGTTGCTTTCACTCCCCGCAGAGCCTTCACCAGAAACCGTCCAGGCTTTTGCATCTTCCCAAGAAATGGCACTATGCGGAGGGCTCGCCAACATGTGTCCTCCCAAATTCCCACAAGAACATCTGTACAAATGCATAAAAATCTTTACACAAATTTTAACAAATCTGATGGAAAGCTGTAATAGGAATACCAGTGCTGGATTACTACAGCGATTGTCCAAGTTTTTATTTTATTTTAAAAAGTATACTTTTAATTCTAGGATATTGTTAGAATACAGATGTAGATAAACACTGGGGTAAGTGTAACCAATACCATAAGGGAGACTGCTCGAAATACTTGTTCACTCCCCCTCCACAACCATAGAACAGGCACAAGGTGTTCAGGGTATGTGCAGAAGCAGCCAGGGACTTGGGAGTAGAAGGGCATGCAAAAAGTATCAGCAAAGAGTTGGATGCATAACATCTACACACACAAAGTTCATTCCACACAGCAGAGGGGCAGCAGTTGGGAGAGAGAGAGGAGACAGAGTTAGTCTTGCCCTTGCCATTTGAACTTCCTAGAGGGCATGTGCATGTGTGAAGAGATGGCTGGGACACGTAAGAGCCTTTTCTCTCTAAGAAGCCAAGAGCAGCAGCAGGAACAAGTCTGGGGCCAGGAGAGCAGAGGAAGAAGGGGAGTAAAATACAGCTAGGTCATGGAGATGCGGTCTTCTTTAGCCACTCTCAAGCTGTTGCCAGCAGTGGCTCACAGAAGCAACAGAGAACTTGGAGATGCCTGCAAATCAGTGACACTGATGGGGAAAAAACATAATCAAGTTCAATCACCATGAACATGTAAGTCACCCAACAATTAAATCATAAACATCCGGAGTCTGCTAGTGTTTATAGCAGACATGATCCCTGCCCCAGTTTGTATTCAATTGGTCGTGGCAAGACAAAGAAACCCCATCGACAGATGGAGTGGTCCTTCATTTTTGTTACTTTCGAATTTTGGTCACTGGCCAGTGATTGATGCATGCTGTCCTACGTAGCCATGGGTCACAGTAAATCACTATAGCGCAATACCCAAGATAGTGGACCTGCTCCTTTAACACCAAGTCCCAAAGAGCTATGACAGAAGTAGCCTTTTAAGAAGTTCCAACAGTCCCAATAACGCACAGTAGAAACACTTTGGGGCACTCGCAAGAGGAAATATGTTATTCCAGGCCCATCTCGTGGACACCAACTCCCACCCCAAATGCTTGAATACACAGCCACATATGGGATGTTTCTCAATCACTATTCAGACTGAGATGAGAACTGACACTGCCTGGGCTTACATCAGGGCAGTTCTTATTTTAACCACTTACACTTGTAAGCTTAGAGGATGGAAATATATCCCACCTAGGTTTATTCATTCATTCTGAAAGGCCAGAGTTCTTCACTGCACATGAATGAAATTCAATCTGAGACTTGGACAATCAGCCTATTTGTATGGTTATTATCTTCCACGATTACTGATACATATAAACAAGTGCTTAGTTCTGTACAGACAGATCATATGCACACTGAAACACAAAACTAGTATTGATCTTTTTTTTCCCCCAGAGAGGGGAAAAAGAACATGTCACATTGGAGTTATGTCTGCAGTTCTGTCACATCATCAATACCACCCAAGAACATGCTAAATCTGTGGGACTGGTTTCAGCATTGGAAAACCACACAAATACAAATTGCACTGTATATACACATGCCCTTATGCAAGCTAAGATAAACACTGGGGTGTGGCTTTTATCAAATCCTAGTGTCAGAAGTAGGGAGAATTGATCTATAACAGATAGAGGAGAAAGACTATAGAAATCGCCTGCATTCCTTGGGAAGTGAATCTGTGCTTCCTTCCTTGATCAAATTCCACTCGTTCCTCACATGCTACCTTCACTGTACGAGCTTCTTTTCTGGTAGATATATTTCCTACAATGTCCCCTACATTGACTCCCAAAGAAAAGTCATACATGTTGATTAATGCTAACAACAGTGGGCACTGCTTGCTAAAGTCACCACCATTGACAGGTCCTTGGTCCCCAAACCTGTGTCTTATTTTTCCTCTCAATCTGTATCTTCATAAGAATGCCAGTTTTTGAAAGTTTAAATGGGAACAGTGAGAAGTAATGATCAGTGCCTTCATCCTGTAGACTCCTGGTCACAGGAAGACAGAAAGATACAAATGCACAAGCAACTCAAGTAAAAAGCCCTTTGCAAAACAAACAAACCCCAAACCCTTTGCAGGGAAAGAACGCATGTGCCTAATGAGTATGGTATGTGAACTGGTGTGGCAATTCAGGTAGACTCCCTGTTGCCTTTTTCCAAAGCAGCCGTGGCCACTCCGCTACAATCCCACATTTCCCTTAGCATAGTTCTTTGGGCCAAAGGATGGAGACACAACTTTTAAAGATTTGCTCCATTTCCAGGCCTGAGCATTCACCAGCCTTTATTCCCTGGTCTCCAGCTTTTTGTGAGGCTGATGTTGATGAAGTAGTTCGTTAACATTGAGTGACTAGAAATCACCATTTTGGAAGTGGGTCAAAATTCCAAATGGCTTGTCTTAAAGTTTTAAATTGTGGCCCACAACTAGAAAATTCAATATGGTTAAAACAGCTCAATCCTGAAGGAGCTCATGAATATATTAAAAAAGAATTATACCTCCAATTGAGTAGTTTTTCAGTCATATAATTTCAGGGCTTAGTCCGTGTGTACTCTCTTATGTTTAATCAGAGCTGAGCTACGGCTGAAACTCTTCTCACATTCGGTACATTCGTAAGGTTTCTCTCCTGTATGAACTCTCTGGTGCGTGATGAGGTTGGAGCTCTGGGTGAACCCTTTTCCACACTGCACACACTCATAGGGCTTCTCTCCTGTGTGGGTTCTCTGGTGTTTTATCAGGTCTGACCTTTCCCCAAAGCTCCGCCAGCACTCGTTGCACTCATAGGGCTTCTCTCCAGTGTGGATCTTCTGGTGGGTAATGAGGTGGGAGCTCCGGCTGAAGCTTTTTCCACAAGCATTGCATTCATATGGCTTCTCCCCAGTGTGGGTCCTCTGGTGCTGAGCCAAGTGGGAGATGCGACTGAAATTCTCCCCACACTCATTACAGTGGTATGGTTTCTCTCCTGTGTGGGCTCTACGATGCCGGACAAGGTCGGAGTTTTGGCTGAAATTCTTCCCACACTCATCACATTTGTACGGCCTCTCCCCTGTATGAACTCGATAGTGCTTGATGAGGTCGGACCGCTCACTGAAGCCTCGTCCGCATTCATTACATTCGTAAGGTTTCTCCCCCGTGTGGGTCCTCTGGTGCTGAGCCAGGTGAGAGCTCCGGCTGAAGCTTTTCCCACACTCCTCACACTCGTAGGGCTTCTCCCCACTGTGGGTCCTTTGATGCTGGATTAGGTGAGAGAGCCGGCAGAAACTTTTCCCACATTCATTACATTTGTGGGGTTTTTCTCCAGTGTGTATTGTCTGATGCTGAATGAGGTGAGAGCTTCTTCCAAAGCTTTTCCCGCACTCGTTACAGTCGTAGGGCCTCTCCCCAGTGTGTGTTCTTTGATGCTGAATAAGGTGTGAGCTCCGACTGAAGCCCTTTCCACATTCATAACACTTGTAAGGTCTATCACCAGTGTGGGTTTTTTGATGGCGATTAAGATCTGAGATCTGACTGAAGGCCTTGCCACAATGAGAGCATATATGGTATTGGATGTCTGTGTGGACTTCCTTGTGGACAAGCAAATCGGTGACTTGTTGGAGAGGATAGCTCACCCACTCTTCTGCTGTTAGATCTCCCCACTGCCTTTCTGATTGATCCCCACTTTCAAAGGCCTCTTCGCTTTCAGGAGTTTCTTCAGCAGTCCCAACTGGTCTTTCAGATGTGGTCCCAAATTCTACGTCTTCACTCATCTCTTGCTTTGTATTCACCTCGTTCTCACTCCTGATCTCAAAATCTGTAACAGAAGGTATATGTTAGTAATACTGGTAAAAGCACAAACACTTCTTTTATTTAAAAAAATTTTTTTTGTGTGAGTGAGTCAGTGAATGGGTGAGTGAGTGAGTGAGTGAGTCAGTGAGTCAGTGAGTGAGTGAATGGGTCAACACTTCTTTTCTTATGTATTAAGTTTTCCACATGAATGAGTGAGTGAGTGAGTGAGTGAATGGGTCAACACTCCTTTTCTTATGTATTAAGTTTTCCACATGAATGACCTCATTTATTATCACCACCAACCCAGGAGTCAGGCATTATGATGATCTCCCCACTAGGAATGAGAAAATCCATGACTCAAAGTAGGGAAGTGATTTGCCTAAATTCACGGAGTAGTAAGTGGGAGAGCCAAGATTCAAACCCAGCACTGTTTGATTTAACTCCATGCTCTCTAACACTACAGATGTTTTCTTTTGCAAACTGTACAGATTCCAGGTATTTTGAAAGATTCACCAGAAACAGAAAACATAACAGACTCTAAGTTTTCACTATGCGTTATTTGACATTAAAAATGGATATTAACTATTACCATACATGAGTATAAGCCGACCTGAATCTCAGCCGAGGCACCTAATTTACCACAAAAACTGCATTTAAAATGTGCTGAAAAACTCGGCTTATACACAAGCCTATACATACCTGTGACTTTTCAGTGTTTTGTTTTTAACTTTGTATTGTGAATTAGATGAAAGTCTATAGAATCCAGTAGCTTTTAAATGAAATTAGGGGTGAGAGGGTTAAAGAAAGCATGAGATTCCTATTTCAGAACATTCTTGCCAACGACTAAACATGTTTTACATGCAGTCTTCACATGAAAACAACTACAGTCCACAAGGAGCTTTCTAATAGACACTGCATTTCCTCAATTGTTTTTCATTATATGAAAAACTCAGAAAGAAGTTACTAGGTCGGTTAGGGGGAAGGGGCCCATGGTTAAATTAGTGTGGAAAAGGGGCATACAACACCATCATTGTAGAAATTCACAATGCCTTTAAAGATTAAGGAATTTGCAGGCAAAGGAACCTGGTAAACATTACTTGCTCACTTCTAAAGCCATTTGGGGCAAGACACTTCTTTTTATTGGGTGGGGACGGGGAAGCAGGCATTTCCATTTTCTTAATAAATGCTCTCTTGTTTGTGCTATAAATTCAATGTCAACAAGTCAATTCTGACTCACAGCGCTCCTTCAGAATAGGGTACAACTGCCCCTGTGGGTTTCTGAGATTGTAACTCTTTACAGAGGTAGAAAGCCTCAGCATTCTCCTGCAGAGCAACCAGTGGCTTCAAACTGCTGACCTTGCAGTTAGCGGACCAATGCATAACCCATAATGCTACAGAAATGCTCATTTACAATTATTTAATATTTTATTTGTTATTTTTGTTGGAACTGATACCTTGGTGGTGTAGTGGTTACGAGTTGGGCTTTGATCTGCAAGGTCAACCGCCAGAAACCACCAGCAGCTCTGAGGGAGAAAGACTGGGCTTTCTACTCCTGTAAACAGTTACAGTCTTGACCCACAGTGGGTTGCTATGAGTCAGCATTGACTCGAGAGCAGTGAGTTTGGTTTTTGTTGGAATGGGTAAAATATATATTTGGGAGATAGATTGTAATAGATTTTGAATGGAAGCTGCATATATGTTGGTTTTTTCCCAAGAAGAGATCCAAGAAATAGAAGATATTAGAGAGCCCAAGTTAACAAGGAAACCCCTCACAGTAACCTTTTGTTCTGGAACAGCTATGAGAGTAATGATGTCAGTAAAAGGATTGGTCCTAATAAGTGGCAGAAGACCCAGACTATTGTTAACTTCTGTCAAGTACTAACAAGAGAGGAAATGAGTCAAAAGGATATTCATTTTGAGAATATACTTATTCTAGTTCAAAACCAAAGGAGAGCAAAAACACAAGTTTGCAGACTGAAAAAATTAGCTTCCCTCTCAAATAGAATTTGTGATCACATTTAGTTCAAGTTTCTCCTGAAACAACATCCAACAGATTTGAAATCTATAATCAACCCAGAAACATTTCTAGGCAAGGTTCTACTCTAGATAATGCAGGGCCTGAAGCAAATCCAGGGCTCAGAAGCCAATACACACACAGAAAGTATGACCCTGGGTCGGAACCCCCTCATCTCCAGTGGCGCAGAGTAACCATTTACGGGCCATTTATATCCTGGTAAGCACCATTATGCCAGACCTGTTTGGTCAGTGATCTGTGCAAACAGGCTGGCGAGTCAGAAATGACTCAGGGCCCAAGAAATATGAACAGTTTGAAAATGTGCAGAAACAGTCTTTCTTTAAGGACAATCTGACTTGAATGTTGCCACACTCAAAAATCTGTCTGCAGTCTCAATCCAAACCAAAATCCAATTAGGTGCTTTGAAAATTAACCAGCTAGGTTGTGCCATCTTGACACCCTCTCAAAAACCTGGTTGGTGGTGGAGGAGCAGTGGTGAATAAAGGTGGAATCCTTACCTAATGAGACAACATTTCCATAGTTCTCCTGCATGACATCCCTGTAAAGGTCCCTCTGTGTAGGGTCTAGAGGTCTCCATTCTTCCCGAGTTAGGTACATGGCCATATCTTCAAATGTCACCGGTGCCTGAAATAACACAAACTCGTTCTCTGGTAGGGGTAGGCATGAGGGTGGGGGTGGGTGTTAATTCCAGCTTTTCTTCTTGAAATTAGAGACATAGCTAGAGTTGGCAAGCAAAATGGTATTAAGTCTGATCTACGGAGTTGCAAAAAGGAAGTACAATGAGGCGGGAAGCCTGAGCTGATTGCCCTGGCCCTATGGGCAGACATCCCGGCCCCACCCCGCAAGCTTAACCTCTAGCCATACTGTTCTTAGAACACATTTAGCTCCAAACATGTACTCACGGTGTTCCCCTTTTCCAGGAATATCTTTCTCAGACTAGCGAAACTCCACTATTCATGGCCCCGCCAATGCCAACTGTGCTTAATGACCGGCTCCTCCCGCCCCTTCCACTCCGCTCCTTCTCCCGGCGCCCTCCACCCCCGACCAAATCAATCGTCCCACCTGTCCGTTCCTACACCAAATGGTATCACGTTGACCGAATGCATATGCCTCCCTACAGATTGTGGGCAGGCCGGGGAGGACCCGTCTTGTCCATCTTTTGCTTCTTCGGTATTAAAAGGCATCCAGCAGGCGCTCAATGAATGCCAGTTTGTGGCGACGTTGGCCTGATACTAAGCCCTGGAGGCAGAAAACCGATGCGAGAGCAATACTAATCCCAGGGAATTTCCTGCAGAGGTTTTGCAGACTGCAGAAACGCCGGGGCGAGGTGGGGAGGCAGAGGCAGGGTCCAAGAAGCCCCGGCTTACCTGGGACCCAGCCATGAGCAGGGTGGCTGCCATCTCGGGTGCAATGGGTGGGCCTCCCGGGAGAGACAGCAGGAAAGGCAGCGAGCAGACAGCACTGAAGGAGGCGAAAAGCAGGGCGTGAGGCACAGAAAACAGGCCCTGCCCACTCCCCAGGGCTGGAGTTCTGGCCGCCAGACGTGCGGGGAGGGCGGGACGGGCTTGCACCCGGGCCGGGTCCGTCTCCTCCCTGACCCTCGAGCGAAACCCGCCCTCCGCGTCTCCGCCACAGCAGGGTGGAGGCACTGCTGGGATCCAAGAGGACAGCTCCCTAGCTCGGTTCCTCCCCGGCCAGGGGTCAGTCAGGCCGACGCTGTCTCCAGGAGGAGGCTCTCAGCCCAACCCACAGAACGCCTCTGCTCGTCCATCCCGAGGCGAGGCCCTTTCCGGCAGGTGCGTCAGCCAATCCGGGAGTGAAGCAGGCAGGACACCCAGCCAATTAGAGGGCCGGACGCTAGGCCCGCCTCCTGTAGCGTGGCTGTGCACAGCCATTACGCCCGCGCCTGCCCCTGTGGCCTGTCGGGAGTTGGAGTCCCGTCCCGGCGTACAAAGGCCGGACAGAAGCCAAAAGCCAAGGAGGAAAAAGAACAAAAGGATGAAGAAAGAAGCACGTCCTCCTAGCGAGGGCGGAGGCGCTTTACGCTCTTCTCTGGGGGACCTCCAGGTCCAATTACGCCGAGCAAGCTGCCCTGCCTTTCCTTGTTTCCGTAGGCGCTTCTGAGTCGGACCGTCGCTGCGAAGTCAGGCCCAGTTGAGACAGCGATGGAGTTGAGCTCCGCTGGGATTGGTCTTCATTTGACAACCCCGGCGTGGGGGTGGCGGGGTCGGGGGAGCGACAGTCCCTCACTCCGCGAGAGTCTCCCGCCGCGCTGCAACTTGGCGCCCCGCCCCTGCACTACATCTCCCGGCAGCGACTGCGGCATGCGTGCTCTTCTACGAGACTACAACTCCCAGCGGGCGCTATGCCGCGCCTGGCTCTCGTGGACGGAGGGCGTCCAGATCTGACAGTGTCCTGGCTCCCTCGCTGTTAACCCTGTCGGAGCGGCTAATTGCGTCCTTCTCTAGCACAGCGCCCCTTGAGGGGTGGCCAGAGACGTGCCCAGCTGACGGGAAACAAGTCGGGAGTGGGGTAGGGGTGCAGGTATGCAAAGCGGAGAGAACCAGACAGGGCAGGGTGCAGCCATCCCTTATCCCTTTAGGGTCTGTCAGCAAAAATTGTTTCTGGCAGCCTCTACCACTGAAGGGCCGAAGACCAGCGGGACCTCAGGATGTTAGCAGCCCCTGACCAGCTGAAGGTAGGAAGCTGAAAACCCTAGCTGGGGATGCACAGACTTACCTCCTGGGCTCACCAGAAATTCAGTAGACCTCGGAGTCCAAAGATCCACAGGGTCTCAAATAGATCCCAGAACTGCAGACAGTTTTCTGAGACCTCGCGTTGGAAGAGATCATAGAGATCACTGGCAGATCCCGGAGAACTCAGATCTTTTGCGAGTCCGTCGATTTTCAGGCACAGTCCAGGGATCGGAGGCTACTCCCACGGACTCACAGATTCTGACACTCCGGCAGCTCAGAGAAACCACAGGCTCGTCGGCAGATCCCCGAGACCACAGCTTCTGGCCAAGAAACACCACCAACAGCTAAAGTTCTGAACGGAAGGACTTGCAGCCTTTTCTGCTCCCTGCCAACATGCGGGAATTAGACAATGGAAGCTGAGCACTAGGGAAAGCATGCATTCTGCGCGGGGAAGAGCTCTGAGCTCGCTGTAGCCTGGGAGAGGGAAGTGATGGAAAAAGAATATAGCAGCTTATTAGGGACTCCCACCCTCTTCATGTTATAAATATCCCCAGAACCTTGGCTACATGCCCGGAAGCCTGTTGTCTCTGACTGTACAGGAGCCTTCCCTGCCTGGGCTGGGAAAGGGGCTTTTCTTTTGTTTTGCAGATACATCCACCCACTGAGTGACTACTTGAATATATCCCACACACACGCACACACACACCTGCTAACCTAACTCCAGGCCATATTTATATTCGTGAGTGTTCTGTTCCCATTGCCTCGTTATTTATGGGTAAATTACCCAAGTGTCTAAAGCGACTAGGATCCCACCCGGCCATGAGACAGACTCCCGACTCCCACACCTCTGCTACATTGCTTCCCCCAACAGGCACTTGAAATTCTTTAGATGCCATGGAATTGTCCTATCCTCCCCATTCTAAAATTGACCTGGGCACTACCACAATGGAGCCCGGGGACGGTCCTGCAGGAGAGTTTCCTGTGGATCTCAAAGTCAGAGAGACCTGATTTAGAATCTAGGTTGTCAATCCTTTGGAAAGCCAGGTATTCTCTCCAGAGCCATTTCTTTTTCTGTGCAATGGGGATAACCACGTCTCTGGCGGCGGTGGAGGTGAAGACCGAGCACTAGCACTGCACACGGAGTGAACCCTGATGACGACAGCCTGTAATAACAGCTTTGGTGGCAGGGGAGACTTCCAGAAAGCCCTGTGGGTGTCTTCAGCAGCCCCGAAAATCACAGATTCCTGAGTGTCTCTGCTGAAGAGCTTGTCCGCACATTGTGTTTCTGCTGCAAATCTAGAGAGAACTGGAAGGCGTGCCTATTTGGTGTGAAGAACCAGTAGAGCAGAGGTACTGGAGACTTCAGGCTCCGTGAAGCCTCCAGGCCAGGGGTTAAGAGCCAGCCTCTTAGGAACAAGGGGGAGGAGAATCAGTTCAGGCTTTGGCTTTGTAAAGCAGGTTTCAACCAGACCTAAGGCGGAAGTGAGGGCCTGAGCCCCTCATCCCAGCAGCCTCCCTTTTCATCCCTTCTCTGACAGATTGCTTTGTAAACTTTTCTTAGGCCTCTTCTCCCCCCTGTTGCTGCAGTGCTTTAAAGCCCTTCTTTGTCCGCATGCTTTTTCTTTAATTCCTCAAGCCTGCCTGGGGGCAGGACGACTCTCCAAGCCCAGCTTGGCTGCTTGCCACCCTCTGTGAGTAAAGGCTTTGCTCTTTCTTCACCTGGGACCCTCTCTAGGGTGCGGCTGAGAGGCTGAGAGTGGACAGCAAGCCTGACTGCATTTGGAGCCCCAGGGGTGGGGGGAGTGGGGGCGGGTGAGGAAGAGGCGGGAGGAAAGACAGTGGCCAAGGGGCTTCCTGTTGCAGCCTTCAGCTGGGCTCTGGGGTTGGGGTCACCGGAGGAGGAGGTGGTTTCCTGCTCTATTGTTTGGGACTTTAGTGTTCCTCAGGAATCATTTACTGTTTGTGGATTTTAAATTCCAACCTGTGAAGCTGCCCTTATTCCCCTCATTCAGCAAGCAATGAGCACCTACTAGCGCAGAGGGGAAAAGACCCAGAGAGCCTTTGGGGCTCCATTTTAGGCTTTTGACGTTTGGTCAGATCTGCTGACAAATTTGATCAAAGCCCCTCCTTGTGTATCCTTGAGCTGTGTCCCTTTGCCAGACCACCATGCCTGTGGAGTGCATTGTCAGTGATGATATTTTAGTAAAGTTTATCCTCGTGTGACCAGCACAATTCTGTGCTGCTTTTGATGTGAGAAGCATTTGCTTGTTCAGCATTTAAAGATATGGCTTGGTTGTTGCAATCCTGTTTGTCATCTCTTCATTTCCAAGTATCTGAGGAACCTCCCATCCAGGCTTCTCCATCTGAGAGACCCTGCTCGGATCTGCGATGGAGGTTCTTCACTGCCCAGGAGGGTTAGGGCAGGGAGGCACACACGACATACATGCAACGGTCCCTGCCAGGCCCCATAGCATAGAGACGAATGAGCTAGTCCACACTGAGGAGGGTGTGGGCTCAGAGCTGAGGGTGAGAGGGAGGCCCCACAGAGAAGGTAACTCCAAGCCGGCTCCACATGACCGCATATGGGAGGGAGAGCATTGCAGACACTGAGAAGTGCATGGGCAAAGGCACGGAGGTGTGAAAGGACAGAGCAGGGTCCAGAAGGGCCAGGATTGCCTATGGCTTCAGGGAAGAATGTGGGGATGGAGCAGCAGGACCAGGAAGCAGAGCAGGGACAGTCCCTTAAGTCCCCTTGCTTGTGTGCGGGCATGGCCCTGCCTTTGGCTGGAGATCAGCAAAACGTGATGAGTTGCAGATGGAGGCGGCCTGAGGTCTGGCCTAGGGGGAGATGGACTGATTGCTCTGCCAGATGAGGAGGGGCTAGAGAGGATGGGCAGGCTCAGATCTCCTGCACTTCAGTTGGTTTTCGCCCAAACCAAAAAAAAGTCAATATTTGCATTGCAAATGTCCAACAGTCTTATTATTTAAGGCCATCAGATGGGCCCATGTTCTCAGCATGCTTACTGTGCCCCTATTCTGTACCAGACACTGAGCTGGGCATTATAACACGGCTCCTCACAGTGACTGCCGGGCTGCTATGAGGCTGACATGTGAGAATGCCCGCAAGACACAGTGAGTGCCCTGCTGGCCACAGAGGGCCTTGGTATATGGTGGCCATTATGGTTTCTAAGAAGCTGAAAACCAGACTCCCTGCCATCGAGTCAGTGCCAATCACAGCAAGACTGGCTCTTTGCAGGAGAAGAAAGCCTCATCTTTCTCCCGAAGACTGACTTTAGGTTTTGAACTGCTGACCAATCCAATGCATAACCAGCAGGGCTTCTACAGGGAGTGTGGTAAAGTATGCAGAAAAAACCAGTAGAAAGCTCCACTGGGCAGAACTTTCATAGTACACATTCCCCCGCTAGGCAAGCATCTATCAACCCGCTCTGAGTTAGTGCTCCCAGCGATGTTTGTTGCCTGGGAAGGTTCTCTCTGTCACAGTGAATTTTTTCATAAAAGCAGTTTTGCTCGAACTTCGTTTTTTGTAACGGCTGATTTAAGAGAACAGCGTGCAGCCGCGAAATGTTTCTTGCATGGGGAAAATGTTGCAGAAACTGTTGTGATGTCGAAAACCGCTTACAAGGACAATCCTATGGGAAAAACTCAAGTGTATGAGTGGTTTTCTCGTTTCAAAAAAGGTGAAATGTTGATTGATGACGAACCTCACTCTGGACATCCATCACCTTCCAGAAGGGATGACAATGTTGACTCGCAGTGCATTTGGAGTTTGTTCCAGTAGGTCAGACTGTTCATCAGCTTTCTGTTTAGACCACGGGTGCTCAATACGTCGACTACGATCTACTAGTCGATTGCAAATGTAGTGTGGGTAGATCGCATGGAATTTAAAAAACAGATGTAAGCCTATCATAAATCCCATCCCTTAATTGATATACAGTGCAGCCAAACAGATGCAATCTTAGGTGTCAAACACATGCGTGAACAACTGTAATAAGTGAAGCAAAACTGAAAAGCTAAGTTATTGCTAATTTTTAGACCTTTTTTTCTCTCTTAAACATAAGAAAGGGTATTAAAATGAGTGGGGGAGCTGGACCAAGTAAGAAGACAAAAACCTATCACTTTCATAAGAAATGGGAGATTTTGACACTACAAGCCGACGTTCAGCTGAAGTCCAGAGCGCATGAACAGTTCTGGAACTTACTCGCACAGGGAAAGTACCCAAACATGAGAAAATGTGCTACCTCCTTGACTGCATTCTTCGGCTCTACTTCTTTATGTGAGTCAGCCTTTTCCCACATAAAGATCATTAAGTCCAAGTACCGTTCCACCACGACTGATGATCATTTGGAATGTGCTTGAGGCTGGCTGTCAGCAGCTACTGTCCGGACTATGCATCCCTGGCTCATTCCATTCATTGCAAGTCATCCAAGTCAACTCAGGTAATGTCAAAAAAATGTACATAGTTAATTATGCAAGGTGCATAAACATACATTGTAAATATAAAGAATTCTCAATGCATTTATGAATAAATGTAATAAATACATAAAAATATGTTTTGCATTTTTGTAGTTGGTAGATCATTTTGATTTGATCACTTTATAAGTAGCTCACATGCTGAAAAAGTGTGAGCACGCCTGATTTAGAGGTTCTGAAATGATTGCATAGCAGGGTGGGACAAAAAGGGCCTGATTTGTGGCAGATTGTGGCTGGTTTTGCCATCACGACAATGCACCTGCTCACGCAGCCATCTCAGTGCACCAGTTTTTGGCAAAACAGCATGCCTCTCTTGCCCTACACACCTTACTCACCTGACCTTGCGCCATGCGACTTTTTGTTCCTGAGAATCCAGAGGCACATGAAAGGACAGCAATTTGACAATGTAGAAGAGGTGAAGAAAAAAACACGAGGGAGGTGCTGTCAGCCATCCAAATAGATGAGTTTGAAAAATGTTTCCAAGAATGGAATTGCAGATTTGACAAATATATTAAGTGTAATGGAGAGTACTTTAAAGATGAAAAGGTTGTTTTGTTTAAAAAATGTAAATATATAGCTTTGAAAAAAATTCTGTTTTGTGAGGAGCTACCTCTTGAATATCAGAGAGGCTCAGAGAATGGCCAGGGGCCTGAGTTCAAATCCAGGTTATATCTCCTAGAAGCAAATGAGTGTCTGACACCTGATTTCCTCAGTCCCTAAGAAGGGTGCTAGCAGTTGACTCCATAAGGTTCGATGAGACAATCAAGGTCTTGCTTATGCTCCAGGTAATGACCATAGCTGGCACTGTATGTTAGCAATGACTTGTGCCTTCTTTGTATTAACTGAGAGCCCTGGTGGTGTAGTGGTTACATGTTGGGTCAGCAGTTAGAAATTACCAGCCAATTCTCGGGAGAAAGATGAGCTCTCTACTCCCGTAAAGATTTACAGTCTGGGAAACTCACAGGGTCACGATGAGTCAGCACTGACTGGATAGCAGCGAGTTTGGTTGGGTGTATTAACTGAATGAGTTCTCACAAGAACCCTCTCAGCTGACCCAGCTGACCTACTGCCCTCGAATCGATGCTAACGCAGGATCCCTATCAGACAGGGTATAACTGCTCCTTAGGGTTTCTGAGACTATAAATCTTTTTAGGAGCAGTCAGCCTTATCTTTTTCCTGCAGAGTGGCAGGTGGTTTTGAACAGCTGACCTTGAGTTTAGCAGCCCAGTGTTTAACCCACTGAGCCACAAGGGCTCATTCCCTTTGAGCTAGGTGCTATTATTATTACTACTACTACTTTATATATGCAAGAAACTGGCACGGAGAAGTTATATAATGTACCCGGCATACCTGGTGAGTGCTCAATAATTAAGTCATACAAAGAAACAGTAAATCATCACAGTAGAATACAGTTCTTACTGTGAGAATTTCACAGTGCTGTGAGAAATTTCCACTGCCTGGAAGAGTAAGTCTGAGAAACCCATAGGGCAGCATTTCTCGACCTTCCTAATGCCTTGACCCTTTAATACCGTTCATGTTGTTGTGACCCCGCCCCCCCAAACCATAAAATTATTTTCGTTGCTACTTCATCACTGTAATTTTGCTACTGTGATGAATCAGGCAACCCCTGTGCAAGGGTCATTTGACCCCCAAAGGGGTCGCAACCCACGGGTTGAGAACTGCTGCCATAGGGGCAGTTCTGCCCTGTCCTATAGGGTCGCTGTGAGTTGGAGTCCACTGGATGGCAGTGAGTTTGGTTCTGGTTCGGTGAGGTTGGGGGGTTCTGGTGGCGCAGGGGGGTTGTGTGGGCTGCTAGCCACAGGGAGAGAGAAGGCTGTGCGCCTGCATAGAGTACCAGCCTCGGGAACTCTAGGGCGTTTCCCTGGCCTGTGGGTCACTGAGTTGGAATTGGCTCAGTGGCAGTGGCTTTTTGGTTTTTTTGGGTGGGGCGGTGTAGAGGGGTCTTGGAGTTTCATTGGACTTGTTTGGATGGTAGTGAGGTTTTGTGTGTGTGTGTGTGTGTGTGTGTGTGTGTGTGTTGAGAAACCATCGCCGTGGGTGGTGAAGACGTCGTGGAAGTGACGTCTTTTATCTGAGGAACGGGTAAGACTGGAGAAGGGCAGGTGAGGAGGAAACCAAACAGAGAATTACTGGTGGAAAGGCCCAGCCTGTGTTCAAGAACAGGGCAAATACTTCCCTTAGGCGGGAGCTTAAGGGACAGCATTCAGCTGGAGATAATTCACCCGATAATGGAGGGGACCTTTGAAAATCAAACCAGAGTTTGTATTTGGATATCAGGTGGAAATCCACTGAACATGATTGCGGTAATGATATGCTTGGAGCTATACGGGAGACCAGATGCCAGGATACCTGTGCCAGGAGGGAGTGCCTTTGAGCTGGGAGACCTGTCAGGGTAGGGAGTGGGAGGAGGTTGGACTCGGCAATGTGAAGAAGGGACGAGAGAAAGAAAGGTTAAAGATGCTTGTAAGGAACAAACTAGTTGACATGAACATACCAAGTGGGGCACTTGGTGATGTAAATGCTGAGCTCAAGAGAAATAGGTGCTAGCACCTTGAGTCTGGACGAGGCTGCTAAGGCAGACTTTTCATCTAGATCACGTGCGCGGTCCCTGGAGCCTTTGGAAAGGAGCCCTGGTGAGGCAGCTGTTAAAGGTCAAACCTGCCAGCTGCTTCACAGGAGCAGTCTGCTTTCATGAAGATTCGTTTTGGAAAGCCTATGTATGGGCAGTTCTAATCCATCCTGTAAGATCACTGTAAATCGAAGTCAACAGCAACTCGGGGGAGGGGAGGGCCTCCTTTGGCCCTAGGATTTTGAATATACTCGTTTTCAAGGTCTTTTGGTCCTAACGTTTCTGGTAAGACCTGCATCTCAACCATTGCATTTCTCTTCTCTTTCCTCTACCATCAGGTAACAAATTTCCCCTCCTCTGGCACTCTTCCTGTGAGGTGGGGTGGTGGTGTAGTTGATGTGAGCCCATTGCAGCTCACCCATCCTTCAAGGAGGGAATTGGGCGTAAGCCATGGGTTCCAGCCAGCAGTGTGTGCAAAGGCCCTGTGGCAAGCAGTAGCACAGCAAGCTATGAAGAACTGAGAGCAGTATAGGATGTGGAGGCAAGGCAGAGGCCAGCTCTGCAGGACCTATGGGACAGGTCAAGAGCAATGGGGACAATGAAGCTTTAGAAGGGTGTAAGGAGTGGAAGTGGGGGTAGCTGTCACAATCATATATGCCAGTTTGGAACGGGTGTGTAGTGGCCAACGGGGGAAACCAGTTGGCGGGTACTAATTTCAGCTGCTGAACACACGCTGGCCTAGTCAGGCTTTACTGTGCCCTTTGCACGGGTAGATGTGTGCTGTATAGACATGCAGACTTTGCCGGCTTGTCCTTTTACTGCTTAATCTGACTCATCTTCTTTGTAAACAGTAAGGTTATTGAGGGCAAAGATTCCATTTATTTTTTTCACTTAAGCTCTAAATCCCTAGGACACCAGAAACGCAATTAGACCATGACGACTGAACATCACTTCAGGGTGGCAGCTTGGAAACAGCTCCAAGAACTCAAGCGCATGGCACGATTACGTGGACAGCAGCTGCTATTTTGTTCAGCTTTTCGTGTCCAGGTATTTGGGAGGAGGATTTGATCTACCGAGGGAAACCTGGGCGTCTACGTTCTTGCTAAGGAACCAGAAACATCAACCGCACCTGGCAGTGTTTGGAAATGAAACCCCTTAGGCCCCCATTCCTGGGCCACTGAATCAGAGTCTGCTTTCAACAAGAGCTTCAGGGCATTCCCATCTATAGTCAAGATCAGGAAGCAAGTAGGGACCTCAATGCCAGGGATGGGACGTGGACCTCCAGTGTGGCATTTATTGCATCTTGGGGTGGAAGGCTGTGCCTCTGGCTTATTTCCTGCCAGGCTGTGCATTTCTGAAGGCAGGGGCTGAAACTGTGATAGCCGTGGCTCTCTACACAATGATGAGCAGCAGCAGCAGACCTGGCTTCCTAACCTGGCTCGGCCATTGATGCGTTGTGTGTTAGTCTTGTATCTTCTGCCAGAGGATTTTTGATCCTTCCAAAAGACCCCGAGTCTTTCCAAGCTGAAGCAAATGGCATCTATCTATACACATTTCATTTACAGGCTATAGCTACAGGGGGAGGCACCTGGTGGATGGAGGGAGAAAGGGACTAACCAGCTCTAGAGTGGAGAGATCCAAGGTATAAAAGGAACTTTCAGACCTTAACAACTGATAGCTACCCTAACTGCCCTAGGGGTGAACCAAGCCAGCCAGAATTCCACCGGCCTCTGCACAAGGGGTCCAAGAGTTCACAGGTCCCTTGCGCTTCAACGATGAAAGGAAGCAGAGTCCATGTGGCTAGCCTGAGGCTACCCAAAGACCCAAGGCAGTCATTAGACCAAGATCAAGGCTTCAGAACAGGGCCATCAGATCTGCCCCCAGGGGTTTTCTGGAAGGTTCTAACTTTGCCTGAAGTTCCTATCAACTGAAAAAGCAAGCTAATGCTGTCATGGGAGAACATGGCAGGGTCCCTATGTGCTGCAGGCTTCCTTTAAAGTTCAGGCTGTCACAGATGGAGCTAAGAGGTCTGGGGTCTGGGCAGGTACTGAGCCTCAGGGCCTCCTCGGGGCCAGGTACACAGAACTCCGCTATACTGCTGTACTCTCTGCTTGGCAAGCCTGACTGAGCTCAAGAAGGATTTGTTCCCTGCTTAGAGAGACCCGGTCTGGAGTCCTGAGACATCCCCAAAGCCAGCTAGTAAGAGGGGCCAACAGAGAGCTTGGAAGAAGATGAAGGGCCAGAATTATTATTTCTAGCAGACAGTCCCATCTGCTTTGTATTTGCAGTTGTGGAGGTGGAGTGAGGAGGGGTAGGCTGTGAGGTTCAGCTGTGAGGGAAGGTCTGCCCTCCTCCTCACCAGTGAGACTCTCCAGCTCTGAGTGTTTGTAGACCGAGTTTTTCCAAGAGGTCTGTCAACACCAACTCTTCACATCTTGACCGTAGTGGGCTCCCCCATTGGTCAATTGTTATTAATGTGCAAGGACATCATGCTTGTCAAAGTGGAAGGGCAGCGACAAAGAGGAAGGCCCTCACGAGATGGCTTGACACAGTAGCCGCAACAGCGGGCTCAGGCAGGGGAAGAAGTGTGGGGATGCAGCAGGACTGGGCCGTGTTCTGGTCCATTGTGCCTAGGGGTCGCTGTGGGTCAGATTCAATTGGATGACATCTAACAATAACAATTCCTTTGCCCCTAATGACCCCATTCAGAGTGTGTCATTTTACTTCATTTCACGTTTTATTTTGGCTCCAGTCCCGATGGTTGGGGTTGAGTGCGTCCTTTGCGCTTTTCCCCGCCGCGGGTCACTGGGATCCTGGCTGGTGGGAGCTCCATCAGCAGAACTGCAAAAAAACCAGAAAGCAATGGTGTTTGAGCCGTTTCCCCGTGGCCCACAAGGAGGCTGTGAGGGGACATGAAGACGAAGGTGGGCCGGAGACCGAATCCCAGCCCTGCTATATTAGCTGCTGCGCGACCTCGGACAAAGCACTCGTCTGGAAAACGGGAACAATAAAGCCGGCTAATGGGAAGGCGACAGTAAATGAACGGAAGTCCAGTGCCAGGCACTCAGGGCCTTCCGTCCCTGGTCAAGAACGTCCCTGTGATTAGACTTCAGACACCCACACGGCAAGGACCCTGCCGGAAAATGGCAGAAGCTGTGCGGCTGCCCCTCGAGTGGTCCTTCCTCTCCAACTCACAGGCACCAGGAGGAGCAGCAGGGTCAGCAGCACACCGAATGCCCTTTTCCAGATCACCACCACTGCCGCTGCTCTCGGTGAGCAGGGCGGACTGACCATTTCACAGCCGCCCTTTGAGGTGGGCGCGAGGATCACGTCCAGTTTTCTAAGGAAGGAAACGGCCCAGGGGTTAAGTGACTTGCCCAAGCGCTCATAGTCCTTGCAGGTGACAGGCTCCAAATAATAAGAACAGTGGTTTCTGAGGACCAAGCACCGATGTGCTCGGAGGTGCCTTATGCAGTTGTATAGGTTGTTCACTGAACAAGGGAGCCTGGCCAAAGAGAGGCAGGTTGGGGCTGAGATCCACCTGGCATTCTGTTGGCCAAGCTCTGTACCCTGACACAGGCTGGGCCTGCAGGGAAGGACACCGTTTTCTAATTCAACAAAGGCCCCCAGGAGCTAGTCCAGGCCCTGTTCACATAGTACCGCAACAGTCCTTGAAACAGCTTGTGGGTTGGAGATTAACACCCTCATTATAGATGAGGGAAACGAGGGCTGTATGGTGACTTAGTGAGTGGTAAAGCTAGGGTTTGGGTCTGACTCCGAAGCCCATGCTCTAAACCATTCGACCACTGGACTGGCCCCCACTCTAAGGGCTCGGTAGGTAAACATAGGAATGTACATAAGCATCTGGCTTGCACCTTTAATAATACAGCAGTTTCTAAGGAGGCCTCAGCCCCTTAGCCTGGTGCAGAAAGTCAGTCAATCCAGGATCGAAGCCATCAGGAATTGGAGCATTCTCTTTGGATGTTCCCAACCGTGTGACTTCACGCTCCCTGTTTACAACTCTTTCTGTACTTAGGAGCCCTGGTGGTGCAGTTCAAAACCATCAGTGGCTCTTCGGGAGAAAGATGAAGCTGGTCACCCCTGTAAACATCTACACCCTTGGAAACCCACAGGCAACAGTTCAACTCTCTCCTACAGTGTTGTGGCGAGTCAGCGTTGACGCGATGGCAGCGAGTTTGGGGTTTGAGTAGTCCCATCTGCTTGTCTGCCAGTGAAGCAGTGTTACAAAGGAACACTCCTCAGAGCTGTTTGCACAGTGTGCGCAGATACCACCGTCTGCACATCCACCCCAGGAGAAGGCATTTGCTGCAAGAGGTGAGTGACATGTTCACGGTCACACAGTAAATAGGGCAGGTTAGGGACTTACCACCAGGGTTCTCCATTTCCAATTCCATGTCCAGTCTCCAGCTCTTGGCAAACCTAGTACCTTCCAACATTGGGAGCATCTGCACTTTGTCTGGATGACCCAGATTCACACAGCACAGGTGCAAGTTGGACGCTACTGGAAACTAACCTAAGTCGCATGACCTCACTTCTTTCAGAAGGTTTGGCAGGGAGGAGCACTCCAGGAGGAGTCTTGCTTGGCTCCTAGGCCTGCAGAGGACATTTCTGCCTTTGCAGAGGGCAGAACGCAGCCTGGGTGACAGGCCTAGGCACTGTAACACTTTTTTCTACAGCTGCCTTCAGAAGAGGAGGGTGACCGCTGACCCAGCTCAGCCTTCCCAGGTCTGTCATCCCCTCCAGGAAATACATCTGTGACAGCACTTTGCAAAGAGCTGTGGTCCCAGAGCTTGCTTCTCTGTCAGTCTGACTCCATCTGTGATCACCCTGTGATCCACTGGGCTGCTGCCTCCACCCCAGCTGGGGGCGTCTCAGAATGAAAAGATGGGCATGCGTCCCCTCTCCTCCCCGCCTACAACTTCTCTCTGGCCGAGCTGGGCTGCGGGCAGACTTACCCCTTAGGTAAGGCAGGAGGAGAAGCCCTGGTGGCACAGTGGTTAAGCTCTCCACTGGCAACCAGTAAAGTAAAGGCCTGCCGATCTGCACCCATAAAGGCTACAGCTGAGCAAATCCTGAGCCGTTCTACTCTGCTCTACAGGGTGGCTGGGAGTTGGAATCCATTGGATGGCACACATGTGGGGCAGTGTCTGAGGATGATGGGTGGGAGAAAAATACAGACCTTCCAGCGATTGCCGCATTCATTGCATAAGACAAAGGTAGTCATTGGCTCATCAGCGCTGCGTGTTTGCACCTAAGAGAGAGGGGACAGCTCATGAAGTCACTCTCCTGCTCTCGGACCTGCCACGACTCCCACTGTCTATGGAAGAACTTGGATTCCCATCCCACAGGGATGCTTCTCTCATCACCGAGGTCCCCTGGTGGGGGGCTTTCCTCTCCTCTCGCCACTGACTCAGTGCCAGGATCACCGGCTCCACCGGGCCTTTTGCCACCCACCCATCCATCCTTATTCACCCTCTGAATGGCAGGACACTAGAGGTGTGCAGACTGCACCAGGTGACACCGCCAGAGGGGGTGACAGACACCCAAGGGGCTGTCTATAAAATGTTTGTGCAGTTATTTCTGCAGTACTTTATTAAATTTCATAAACATGTCCCTGGAGGTAGCGATACGAACAAAAATCTATTTGCTCAGCTCAGCTGACATGTCTCAATAAGGCAGAAGTCTATGCCAGCTGCCTCTATGGGTCTCCTAATATGCTCTGTGAGTACTGGGGGTTACGCGACGGACGGTGACTCAAAAGGTCTGGACACCCCACCCCCACCCCCGCCGCCACTCTGCAGCAGACAGAGGAAGCAGTCTGCTGACAGCCTCGGAAACCATGGGGCCATTCCACGCTGCCCTACAGGGGCACTACGAGTGGGAATGGCCTGGGTGGCAGTGGCTTTAATGCACTGTGGCCAAAGCTATTGGTATTACCTACTGACACGTGGCTTTGCCGGCAGGCCCGACAATCGCACTGTCATTTTTGTTGCTGCCAGTGGTTTTACCAACTCTTCTGGTGAATATTGGGGCAATCAGTATTCCTGAACCTAAATCAGTAACTTCTTGAGAATTAAAAGATGGAGCTAAAATTGTTAAGGGCTTCCACTCAGTTACTAATGTTGTAACTATGTTATAATTCAATGTTGAAAGACTTTACAAAGCAATTTTGTTGTTATTATTTCATCTGAGCAATATTGCAGATAAGCAATTTCTATTTACTATATATTATTCTATGATTACAATGGCTCATAGACTTACTAAAGATTCTGACTCATTCCCTTGTGGAGGAGATCCGTGGGGGCAGAGGACCCCAACCCTGGGGACTCAACACTGACTTCTAGGCTTGTGTCCTACAGGATAGGGGCCCTCACTCACCCTGGACGTACTCCATCAGACAAGCCTTACTACTCGGAACCCCATCCGTAGGGATCCCCTAGCCCCTCTGATTTCCTGGAGGCCCAGAGAGGAAGAGAGACGTGAAGCTCACTGGGGCTGCTGACTGTCATTTTCCCAGTCTCTCACCCCTCAACCATCTCATAGCCTTTGAGGTGAAGGAACAGGGGTTTCCTACAACCCCAGGGGGCTCCCGGATGGACCGGCTGCAGTTCAGCTTCTCTACTGCGGACGGACGGGGTGGCAGTAACACGCTGGCCCTGAGCTGACGCTCAGCTCTGACTCTGTAAGCTGGCAGTCGGTGTTGTGAGGGAGTCCCCTGGCTTATGAGTCTGCCAGGAGCACTGCTCCGCACAGCTTGTCGCTGCTGTGCTTTGACTCCTGTGACAGAAAGGGTGGTGGCGGGGCTTCTTGGCGA